TAAAATCCAACTGAGAAAAGTGTAACAAAGTAAAGTATTAAAAAGCTTCTTTCTACTTATACTTATGGTAAGACAAGAGCAGATAAATCTCAGTCCTATTTATACTTGTGATAATAAATGACAGTTTAGCATTTATCATCATATGACCCAGATGGTGGAAAGTAAAGTGCAATGCCCTGTCATAAAAGTGAAGTGTTTTCTTGCTATGATCTCCTATGTACTGGTGATGTTAACTAATGATCTTTGTTTGATATGCAGCAGTTCTGTAAAGATTTTTAATGTATACTTAAAGCAAGTTTACCTGCCCATAGTCATAGAATCCATCCAAGATTATGTTAGTAGATGCTAAAAACCCCATTTGACTGTATTTTTGTGGAAGATTGTGATCAAGTATCTTTTCCAATGCTGCTTCACTGAAGTTATTTTTGCGACCAATAGAGAGGTTAATTTCATCAAGAATATCTAAAGCACTTTAGCAAAGAAACAAAACAAAAGAGAATTTACCAAAAACATTGTTCCAATTCATTACAGTATTTCTCTTATTATACTGTAATCTTTTACAAACAATTTATACAGTACTGAAATACATCTGATTTCAGAAATGTACCATTTTTCTAGTTCTCTGGAGACCATGCTCACAAAATAAAACAGAATAGGATGAGAGCAAGGATAAGTACATTTACACGATAGTAAAAGTAGACAAAAGGTAGCAAAATCAAAATTTTGCTCATATCTCACAGGTTCTCATTAGCTTTGCATGAAATATCAGGAAATTTGAAAATATTTTATTGGTGATACCAACCAGAAGTAAGGCAAACTCCCTGGTTCTGTCAGTGCTGTTTCTGATCTATGTGCAAACCAATGCATGACTAATCCCTATTTGCCATTATCTAATTCTCTCCAACAATATACTTGCATATAAGCAATTTAACTTTCATCTCCTTCTTACATCATCTTAAACTGATGCTATCCTGATGTGTTCATCCACAATTTTTATCACTTTATTGAACATAGCCAAGTATAACCATGTGACAAGGGATTCATTATTTATTATAATTTATATGATATCTACAAAAGAGTGTGTATTAGTATGTTCCAATTATTTTATAATAAAACAGATGAAATACAAAATCTAAAAATACAAAAATTCAAAGGCCAACATGACTGGATGCAAAAAAGATGCAAAAAAGGCAGCATAAAATATAGTTACAATAAATAATAACAAATTAATAATCTTTTAAAATAAATATATATACTTTATATCATGAAAAGCACACCCTCAGGCACAAAACTACCATCAGGCTTCTTTCAGAAAAGGGACTGTGGCAAAAATGAAGAAGTGACTGTTGTGGGATGGGTGATGAAATGGAATATCTGATGCAACATGTGCTTGGTTAGTCCCTAAATATGGATATATTATAATACAACTTGAAGACAAGATGAATATAAGATATAAGATGAATATAAGATAGCATTAAAACATTGATCTGATCCTACCACACCAACACTATCACTTTGGCATCTCAACTCACCCCAACCTGGTCATTTCAGCTGCTGTTAATTCATCACTTGCACAAACCATAACAGCCCAACAAGCATTTCTTCGTACTTCATCATTCTTAGAATGCAGATGCTTAACAAGAGGTTCAAGTCCACCAGAATTTCGTAACTGAAAGACAACATTTGTTTGTTTGTTAACTTTATTTGCTGTCCATTTGTTGTGGGGCTACTATGGATGTAGCCCCACAGCAATAACAATATAACAATAAAATTGAAAAAAAAAATGATAAAAATGTAAATATAACAATAGCAATGAAAAACAATAAAGAATGGAGGTACAATAATATGAAATTAAAAGAAGATGGGTCGAGAGAGAGAGAGCAGGAAATATAATGGAAAAATGGGACCAGCTAATTAGTCCAGCAGCCACCTCCAGTGATGTACTCCCTTATTGGGTCCTCAGGCCAATCATCAGATGTCTTCAGGCCCTTTAGAAGGAAGGAAGGGAGGGGCAAACTTCATCCTGGGGGACAGGATGTTCCAAGATGATGCTACAGCAGAGAAAGCTCTTCTCTTGGATCCTGTAAGAGTTCCTTGACTGACAAGATACTCAGCAGGCCTCCTCTGCTGGCATGGTAGGACAGGCTTGTTATATATAAATAGGTTGGCAAGGGCTACACTCAACCCCAGGAGCAAAATTGCTGCCAAGAATACTTACTGAATTAGGACTGAATAATTAAGGCTATACTTATAGCGAAATAGCACTAGAGATTTCCTTTCTAGCCAAGGTAAGCTAAATCCTGCAAAGAGAAACAGAAGGACTTGGCTTTTTCCACAAGGATTAAGATAGGATGTTTGAAGTGCCTACTAGTAAGACAATGTTATAAAATTATTTGGTCTCAACTGCAATTGAGTTTGGCAATTTTATTTTGTTAAGCAAAGTAGTCACCAAGTGAAACTGACTGTGTTTATGATCTTGATTTAGCTTTCCTTTGTTCTGCCCGCAAATGTCATGTTACTTTTTTTATCACCATGGTATCTATGAATGGTCACAGCTCAAGGTAGTCACTAACCTATGTGTAAATCAATGAAAAGGCTGGAATGCTGGCAACTGCTGAAGCTGCTAATTACTGGACTTTCCTACCTTCTGCTATTGCTCTCCTTTACTAATATTCACTTTCTATTTCTGAGCAAGCAATGAAAGGACTGATGAGTGTAACTTAACTTTTTACGAAGTGACGCAGAAACATTTTTTTGTTGAGGGAGAAGCATGTGAATGGGTAACATCAGAAAGAAAGAGGTAACTGTCTATACTGTGGAAGAAAATCTAGTAAGAATATATTGTAGTGATAGTGCCTTCCCTAAAATCTAAAACCCAGTCTATCCACCAATAAGAAATGTTATTGCAGCTTTTTTGAATTATTTAGACACAATTTGTAGTAACAAATTTGCATGCTTATTTACAAGCACATGGATCTGTGAGTAAATGTATCAACTAGAACATAGCAATTGCACTAGATGTTGACCAATTTAAAACTTAAATTTTAAAATGTAAAATTGTGTTTGGAGAGCTAACAAAATTTCCCTGTTGCCTTGTTGCTAATCCCTGAGGCCAAATATATGCAAATAGCATTAAACTAACTAGTAGCACTGGATTTCAGACTAAAGTTTTTCCTTATATTATTTGATAGGGCTGTGCAAAGAATTCCAAGAAGGTGTTTTGCAAAGGAGGTTGTGTGTGGAAAAATTCCTCAAAATGTTAAAGCAGCCATGCCTATAGTTGCTTTGCATTGTTGGCAATCTATGTGTGCAACCACACACATGAATAGACAGCTGGAGAATAGCTTTGAAGCAGCTCTCAAACCTCCGAGCAAAGCAGCCAACCACAAACATTTTGTTGTACAACAAGCTTTGCAAAGTCCATCTTCAAAACGCTTTCCACAGTCTTACGTTTTTATCAAAATAGTAAATAGAAAGCCTGGTGTCTGGGCATTTTTTTACAAGGAAAACATGAACTTTACAACAAAATAATTATGTGGTTTGCATTGATTACACCCATCATTTTTTTTCATTATGCACAGTATAACAAGGATACATTTTTTTTCTTAGGATTTATATATACCATATAGCTAAACTAAAGCTGACCTTACTTGGATACTTTTTTCTGAATCACAGTCCAATTTCTAACCTGCTTGTCCTTTGAAATTTTTCAAATCTGGCTGAGAAGCCAGACGGCATGAATATAAGCATTGCAAATTGTTTATTGAAACTGACAATTTTACACAGCCAAGTATTAGAGATCCAATATTAGAGAACCAAAACTTTGACATTTACCTGGAAATACAGCAAAATATGCTGATCCAAGAAAGCTGTGTTACATGAAAAATGCCAGGACTTGTTTTACCCTAATAAAGAAGATGGACATGTGCCTTACCTCAGTTCTGGCCTCAGCATCACAGCCCATAGCAGCCACAGCAAGAGCTGCTCTGCTCTGCACAATGCTGTTAGTGGAATTCAGTGGATCTACAATGGCAGTCATAAAACCATGGCTTTGGATGGTGAGACGTAATGGCTCCTGCATGGCTAAGTTTGTGAGAACAGAGGCAGCACTAGCCACGGCGCCGTCTCTTTTACAGCTTAGAACACTAATTAGCGGTTCAATGGCTTCAGCTTCAGCAACAGCGCTAGGAAGTGGGAAAAGGAAGAGAAAAAGACAGAGCTATTGTTAGTTATAAAGCTCCACCATTCCAAGGGATGAAAAGGTAATGCTGGAGAGCAGCAAATGAATTGTTGGGATCCTCCCTCCTTGGGAAAAAGTGTCCCAGAAAAGTATGTTCATCTTTATACATTTATTTTCAGAAAAGTTCTTAATGACATCTATGTTTTCAGAGAGATGTAGTCTGTTCATACTGAACATAAAGATTGTCACTATTTAATAGCTAGTTGTTCTATTTTTATGTCCATATTATATTGTTATGGTTATCTTATTGCAAACGATGGTGAACTTCCTTCTCCTATGTATGTTCTGTTTGTTCTAAAAAACACAATGAAATTGCCCATACCAAATAATTAAAAATTGCTAAGGTATTGTAATAATACTGACAGTTGTACATTCATTCATATTTTACTCAGACTATTTTTTGGAAGGGAGAATCTAGTTGCAGAAAGAAACAGTCTAACTTTTTATTCACTAACAGTTCTTTATTTTTTGCATTCCAATCTTTATTTGATCCAATGTTTCACTGAATAGTGTTATCCACCATATATGCAATAAACTTCCATATTTTGATAAAATAATCTTAAAATCAAAAGCAGCAATTTTTATATATATTTAATACTGTCTCTACTATGACTGCCAATTAATCTTAATGATTTAATTAGAAGTCCTATACATCTATTTAGATATTTCAGGAAGTAAACACTGTATAAGTTCTGCACATGTAAGTAGAGTACAAACCTTCCTATTAAACTGTAATATTTGATATTGTGTATTGATATACAATATCTGTGTACCATGCAATGAAATTTCCTAATTTAAAGACTTAATGCCCAATTTAATTATCTGGAAATGTAGTTTAGAGTTAGGATTTAAGACATTTTTTCCCCATAAGACCCTTTTGTAATCCCACACATGGGACTAACTGTATTTTGGTGAGCTCAGCAGGAGCTTTCTTGCACAAAGAAATGTTTCTGATCTTTCTACTAACAGATATTAATAAATTCTATAGGCTGTCACTAGGGGTCACTGTTATGTCATATTAACACAACAAAGAATCTATGTATTACTTTATTTAAGGATAATTATGAGAAAATGTTTCCAATGAAACATTTATAAATTAGGCAAATAACAAAGAAAAATGTCAAGGTATTTGCATAAACATTGTTCCATGTAAATTCCTAAGTGTTATTCTTGAAAGTCTGTAGTAATATTTAATATCAGCATGTTTCAACAATTAGGATATCCATAATGTATTTGTTTATTTATTTGAATCTTGGCTTTATTATTTTTTTCAAATAATTCAAGGTGGTGAACATATTCAATACATCTTCTTACATGCATGCTTTATATTATCAACATATATTTGTAGCATAGAGAGAAGATCTAAATTGTCCTTTGGAGATTGCATTTGGAGTTATATTTGTGGTATTTCAAATGAGTGGAAATACCTGCTCTTTGAATGCAGTTTCACTTGGGGAGCATTCCAACTGTTTTCTTTTGTTTTGGTTCAAGAAAATTAAATTGAAGTGGAGGCAGAGGAAAAGGAGAAGAAGGAGAGGGAGGAGGAGGAGGAGGAGGAGGAGGAGGAGGAGGAGGAGGAGGAGGAGAGGGGGAGAAGAAGTACTGATTTTATCCAATCTAAATACGACATAAACTTCATTTCTCATGAGGAATAACAATTTGTTAGACCATTTTTGTTCTTCTAATAATCTGATATCCTAAATCAATTGTCTTTGCAAACAATTAGAGATTTCCAAGAAATTATAGCAAATATGAAGTTTCCAACTACTGCATAGATTATTCTCCTCTAGTCTTCTTTGTATAACAGCTGTTTACACTGAAAATCTTGAGAAGTTTCGGCTAATATAAGATTGATAAGGCAACTACATCTTACATTTAGGAGCTTATGTCTGATGTGTATTCTATAGCTGTAGAAATGAATAAATCAATTTCTCAAATAACATGTTTTAAGGAGGAAATTATATAATGGCCAATAGATGGCAGTAAAGCTATAAATTAGATACCAAGCCATGAAGAGAATGTTGATCACTTAATCAGTGATCAGAACCTACTCTGAACACCAGACATGATTTTGATTATTTCCTAATTCAATTGATAGGAAATGGCCTATCACTGCTCTCTCACTGGCTCTCTTAGCATTCAGAAAAACAGCTAATGTAGTGCATTGAAAATAACATTTGCTGGACTGCTATTATCTTTGGTATGTTTATTTTTATTTCTATTTTTATTGTTAATTTTACATCTGGTTTTAGGTTGGTTTATTTGCTTTACTTTTTAGCTGTTCTGACAGACTGCTATTTTTATCGCTCCTGCTTTATTTTATTGGCTGCTTTGACTTATGAGTTACACAGAATGTTTGGATGGAATTGATAATAAATTATTTTATCAAATACAATAAACAAGACATTGAATGAACTTTAATTCATCCCTTCCACCCATCCATCCCTGCCTCTATCAGGGTTGTTGAACAGGTCACAGAAATTGCCGATGAAATTGGAATGCATGGTGCCTAACAGCTGAGCTCATGTTTATCTTCCTACCTTTCAAAAAATATGCACAGACGTATACATATACACACATGTATACATGGATACAGGTTTAGATCATTTGATGCTAATTTATAATATTTAGTGCATGTAAATATATTATTAGATACAATCATTTAAGATTTATAAGTAAGATTAATAAGGAAATTATATTTTACTTAGCTGGGTAATATGTTGATACTAAGAAAGGTTGGGCCTGGTTAATGCTTGGAGGGGAAATTCCACTAGGGAATTCCAGCTCTGTATTCTAGTCTGTAAAGCCAAAGAAGAAATCAGAAGACAGCAGTGGCAACCCACTTCCATTCTGCTGCCACAAATACTATATAAATAAGGTTTATATTATAAATGTTTGTTATAAAGCTGAGTGCAACTCAGAAATCTTAATTTTTAAAGTAAAGAATGGATTGATTGATTGATTGATTTGGAGTGCTTTTATAACTCTTTGCTCATTCTTATACTTAGCAACACACTTCCAAATGAAAAATGAATCATTTTACATTTAATGCACTAAATGATTATAAGATAATTCTGACCTCAGGAGTTTTCATAAAATTATTGTCAGCATGTTAGCTGACAAATAAAAAAAGCTAATCACATTAACTTGCTTTTGCCTCTGTGGTACAGCAAGAATTAAAAATTGGCAGATATAAATTATGCTAGATAAATGCTTCACCACAATTTCATACACGTAGAATATTCTAGATTTAAAATGATAAAATATTCCTGACATCAAGATTCTAGTAATTAGCGATTTTCAAGGAAGAAATGGTAGAATGATGGTGGCTCTGTAGGACTTCTAGTGGTGAGGTTACAGTTGAGGGGAGCAGGAGAGCGATCTCTGCAATCCTGTATCCGAATTTTCATGCTTGGAAGCTCTCAGAGGCATCGTGAAGCTTGGAGATACACATGAATTAGAAGGGGAAGCCTAGGAGCAGAGAGGAGGAAAGCAACCTCCCACTGCAACGAGGGGAAGCCCTTTGAATCCGGCGCAAAAGAAACCTGGCATCTACGGTGGGTCCGAAGCTGTGACAGCCAGCTGCGATCGGGAAGCAGGAAAGTGGATCAATACAAGACATCAGAAGAACAATGGCAGACTGGGACAGTTTTTGAGAGGTGAGAGAAGAGAGTCCAGTGAAAGACTTTGACAGAGGGAGTCTCCGGAGAGAGTGAATGCAGTGGTAATTGGTGGGGGACAGCGGAGTGAAAGGGAGAGGAGGAAATAGAACAGTTTGACAGCTGAGAGAGAGCACCGCAGAAGAAAAGATCAAGACTCTGTGAATAAAAACTGAAAATTTCTATGATTTGGATTGATTACTAGCAGAGACATTAGAGAGAACAATTGGAACTTTAGTGGAGAACTGTAGCTGAATGGAGAGTGGAACCATTCTGATAGAAAGCTGTGACTGTGCAATTTGAGAGTGAAAGTGACTAAGTAATTAAAGACGACTGAGGAAACAGGAAATGAGGAAAGTAATGTGACGGTGTACAGAAGAAAGGGAAAGAAGAAGGAAGAAAGAAGAAGAAAGCTGAATAATTTCTAAGTATTAAATTCAAAAATGTATATTAAAAAAAATCTAAAGCAATATATATATAGCTGATTTCTTGCAAGAAGAATTAATTTATGTATCCTATTTCATAGATTGCTACATTCTTTATAACTGCTATACCCTATATATCCTTTATATCTTTCTACAATTTGATACCTCGGATAACAACTAATTAATTAATTAATGTATAACTAATTAATGGCTATATATTGATTCATAGACTGAATTGAACTATAAGAAAGTTATAAGAGATAATATATAAGAAAAGAAAACAATCAAACACATATTTATCTATATTTATTGAATTATATATGTTTACTATATAAGCTATTACATTTAGAATTATACTTAATTAATTTATTAAAAGGATTAAATAAGATCAGAAAATTAAGAGGGTTATAGACTATCATAGATTATAAACAATAATGATATTTAGTTTTACATTGTTGTATAAATACATATATATATATAAAGTGTGCATAAAATTAAGGAGAGACATTATTAAGTATATTAGACCTTGTAGTGATAAAGGGAAGGGATTAGAATAAGATAAAAGGGAAAAGATAAACATAGAAAACGCAGAAGGGAGTTGATACAACGGATGATAATATTGAAAGACTTTCTTAAGAAAATAGGTAGATTTAGGAAGCCTAAGATGTCCACCACGACAACTACTGCTAAATTGGGAAGAAAACAACATCCAACCCAACATCAACGATAACATCACCAGCAGGACAATGTTCGATAGAGGGCATGCTGAATCCTGAGAAAGTGAGTCAGGCAAACAATTCAAATGGCATTAACAACAATACAAGAAAGGATGGTGAGAAACCAAGCAGACTTTAAAACTG